AAGCCCAAGCTAGTTTCTCTTTTATAGCCTTTAGCACCTCATGCAAGTTTTTGACACCCAAACCTCCCTCTTGATATTGAGCCAAAATGGAGTCCCATTTAACCCGGTGATGCCTACTGTCACCTCTAATGTTCCGAAAAAATTTAAGATATGGCTTTGTATTATAGCTAGAACACCTTTTGGGATTGGAAGAACTTCCATCATGTAAATAGGTATGGATATTAAAACACTTTGGATCAAAGTGAGTTTCCCTTCAACGAAACGGTAATCTTCCTTTCCAACATGTAACTTTATCCTTGATCTTGGACTCCAAGCTTGTAAAATATTCCCTACGAGTTTTATCTCTAAACAATGGCCTACCCGGATAATTCATTACTGTATTTGCAATACAAAAGTTGATCAATATGGATATAAGAGGTCTATTGTTGGGAGAAAGCTTATTGTCTGCAATAAAAAAAAGCTCTTTCTAAAATTAATGGCTTTTCCACTGGTCGTAGAGTATTTATGGAGAAGAGACAATAGCTTATCAATTTTCCTCTTCTCCTCGTTATTAAATAGCAACATATCATCTACAAATAGGAGGTGAGATATTGCCCCGTGGTTGTAGCTCGTGTAATATGGGTTGAGAAACCGTTCGGCTATCATGGCATTCGACTTCTTAGAAAACACTTCTTATGCTAAAATGATAAAAATAAAGACAATGGATCTCCTTATCTCACACCATGAGTAGATTTAAAGAAACCAAAGGACTTAGAGTTAAGCTGAATGGTGTACCAATAATTAGAAATACATATAAAAATTAGGTCACACCACCTATTAGAGAAATTGAATTTTTTCAAAACTTGCATGAGGAAACCCCGCTCCAATCTATCATAAGCCTTCGATATATCAACCTTAAAAATGATATTACCTCCATGAATCTTCCTATCAATGTTGTTAAACAGTTTCTAAGCCAAGGCCACGCTCTCCTAGATGTATCCGCCCTTAACGAAACCCGACTATTCTTTAAATATCACAAAAGAAAGCACAACACTCAAACAATTAGTGATAATCCAAGATAGGATCTTGCATGTGAAGCTAAAGAGACTGGTTGGGTTTCTATCTATAAAGTTGGTAGGACTTAGACATTTTGGAACCGGAACAAAAGAATTGTAGTGACTCCTTTTGGAATCTCTTCTCCATGAAAGACTTCTTGTATCCTAAGAACTATATCACTTGAGATAGTGTTCCAACATGCTTTGGAAAAAGATCCTATAAAATCATCTAGACCAAGAGCATTGAGCTCATCAAGTTCAAAAATTACATCTTTGATTTCTTCCTCCTATGGGATAATCATTAAGGAGTTATTCGAGCAATAAAAATTACGAGTAGGCGAATGTTAAGAAATTCTTCCACCATATTAGAAGGATCACTCTTGAAGATATTCTAAAAATAATTAACGACTACAAACCGAACCATCTTTGCAAACTAAACCATCTTCTAATATTAGATAGAGATTGGAATTGAGCCTTTGATTTCGCACACAAGCATGAAAGAAGGTAGAGTTATGGTCCCTAGTTTAAAGCCATTTAACTCTTGAATTTTTTTTTTTTTTTACAATAGTTGTTCCTTTTTTTATTAATGAAGCTAGTTGTCTTTAGCTACTAGAGATTTACTAAAATTTTCTTGACTCCATGAAGTTTGTAAGTCTCGCTTCCATTCGAATAAACTCATCGAAGCATCATTCACTTTTTGTTTAATGTCTCTAAAGACTGATCAATTCCATGCTTTTATTTCATGTCTAAAATACTTGAGTTTCAAGTACGGATTTAGGAATGGATCGTCGCTGAAGGATGACTTCCAATGATTGCTCACAAAAGATTGAAAACTATCATGAGCTATCCATATTTTTTAAAAGGTAAACCTAGCTAGTCTTGGTTTACTTGCTACTAGTGATAGTAATAGTGGATAGTGGTCCAAATATATATGAGTTAGGTGAGTGCGGGAAAGTTTGGGAATAAAGGCAATTGTCTGCAGCATTTACCAATACCCTATCTAGTCTTTTCCGGATCCTAGTAAAACCCTATTGGTTATTGCATTAAGTGTATTTACTTCCTAAATATCCAATATCCTAAACCCCAAGCAAGTTGATGCAAGTGTTGAAATCAAACATTGAACCTAGCCCTATTTGGGATTGAGCACCTCTTGCCTTTTAGTCAAGTCCGATATAGCATTGAAGCCACCTCCTAATATCCATGGAAGAGTAATATTGAGTGCCAGCAAGTTGCCCTAGAGATTTCTTCTTTCTAACCTATTAAAGTTAGCGTAAATTGCATATAGGCTACAAGTTTTGTAAAGAGAATATACCTTAGTATAACTATAATAGATTGGGAACCAACAGACTTGTATATTCACATCTAGGTTATCCTTCCATAGAATCCAAATATGTTAGTTAACTAGGTTACCATATAGATAATTAGAGAAATTAAGACCCTTCGCTAGTTTAGCAAGTTTCTCTTCGATTGCTTAGGCTCTTAGAGGACAAGAAAAGATATCTAATGATGAGCTATCAAATGTTTTACATATCTCCTTTTATCTAAGACATAAATGCTTATAATATTCCAAATCGAGTTAATCATTAGGTAGGGCAAAGAAGGGCTCACCATTATCGTCTTACTCGACCTCGTTACACATCCGCTACTAAGTTAAACAAGACTCTTCAATAACTTCTTTTTCTATTTTTTAGACATTATTTTCCATTGGAACTCCATAGCCTTTATTTTTCTTGGAAAGCTCGTAATACCCACCGTTGATTCTCCATAGCTCCTTCGAAATCGCATGAGGAGAAACATCGACCTCCAATTGAGAGGTTAAAGCCCTATCATCCAAAACCTCATTATCTAGGGAATTGAATGAATTTATAATTGTTATTTCTTGAGCTACAACCAAGGTGAGAGGAGAGAGAGCTATCTCATTCGAATTGATGTCTATCTTGAAGTTAGTTGTATATTGTTGAATATAACCAGTAATAGTATGCTTAGGAAAGGTTCTATTCTTGGGAGCGACTTGAACAAGAAGAACATGAGAGAAAGCCTCCGATACTATTGACGTAGAAACTAATGTAGCAGCTTGATCCCGAAGGAACCTCTATATTCACCCCCTTTATAATGAAAATGTGTTCCATAATATCAACGGTTATTATATAATCCACTCTAATAGTTAAGTTAGAATTTAGCTCCACGATCATGTCCGCATGTGCTATAACATTTTGTTATATGACACTATACTCTCTAGTAGCCTTGTACAATGTATATGTTGCCAACCGCAAGAAAGCCCTAGAATTGCTCCCTTTCTTAATTTATGAACGAGTTATAAGTATGTCCATGGGGAATAGATTCTAAATCTTTTTGCATGAAACTATAGCTCCCAATTGATGTTAGTACTTGGACCATCAACTGTTTCAAACTATTTCAAACTCGATCATTTGCATACATGCCATCCGACTTGAGCGTAAGGGCTATAATTTTTATGTATACTCGTAATATCCCCATCACTAGAAATGTTAGAAACGTGCTCCTAGTTTCCATCCGCATGTGATATCAAATTTTTCTACATGACACTATTCTCCCCATTAGCTTTAGATATTGTACCAACTACTAAATGTAAGTGGGCCCTCGTAATACTCACTTTCTTAACCTAGTGGGCCCTTGCAATACTAACTTTCTTAGCACGTGTAACATTACTAGTAGAGACCTGTGACATAGTAAGGCAAGTAATAATTATAGTAGAATTAACCGAATAGCTATATGGAATAGGGTAGCTTCTAATGACATTTTTACATATACCCATACAATTGAGATTAGTTGTATCTCGTCCAAATGCATTAAAAGCCCGAGCATCCACCTTCCTCTCGCATGGAATTGTATTCCCCAACTGAAGTGACTACTAGCTTCTCTTCTAATACATTTTGAGCCCCCGCACATATCTCTTTCTTATTCCTAATTGGAGTAGGATGAAGTTCTAAAAATTTTTAGGACTTGTCCGAGTGCCTTGTCCCTCTCTTTAGAACCCAAATCATGGTCTTGCTTAATGGAATACCTCATGGGAAGAGATTCAATAACTCCTTTACCTTTAACAAAGGAGATGAGTGGGTTTACCTTATTTGAAAGATGACACTCTTCATATTCTAGGAGGTTACTAGGAGGTTCTTTGTGCTACCGGAAGGATGTTGTAGTATGCCTTTCTTGTTACCGAGTGTGCCATAGTTTCTCCACCCTAGGTCGAGGAGACTACACTTTATGAGCAACATGGTGGATATGCTACATCGACGAGTTGCTTATTCTTAGGAAGTTTACGGTGGCAATTACTTATTAAATATCCCCGCAAACTACGAGTTGTGATAAAATGCAACGTTGGACTCCACCACAATAGGCTACCGAAGCCTTTGGTTCTATTAGTTACTAATTAATATCTATAGTCCGGGAGGGATAGGGATCTGTTAGATCAACTTCGACACACACTTGAGCATACATTGAGTGAGAACCGGATCTCGTTCTTTCATCTAGGTGTAAGAGATGTCCAAAAGGTCTTAAAATTTCTTGTAAAAATGCAGCAAGAAGGAAGAAGATGGGAAGGCTTGAAATTTAATCCAAGCTGCCGCCATTGGAGACTCAACTTTGGTGTTGAAGGTTGAATCCCATTTGAATAATCAAAATGGATAGTTAACTATAAGATGAGCATCCTTAGTCCAAGCCTTGATTAAATCTTCTCTATGAAATAAATGAATCAAAACATGGCAAGGATCAATGAGACCAACCACGGGTGTTTCATTTAACCCCTAGTATTGCTTGAAATACTCTTGAATGTTATTGATCAAGGCACGTCCCTTAGATAATTTCAACACTAAAGAATATTGAAAAAAAAATTCAGATTGTTGTAGATCTACATCTAAAAAAACCACAGTGGCTCTCCTTTAAAAAATGATGGGGCCTTGGGAGTAACAACAAAGGAGAAACCGAGTGCTAGGATTCTGCTTGACGAGTGGCAATAGCCGTATAAGACCCATTATAGCTTGCAGTATTTTGAACTGTTGTATCTAGAGTCGAGGAGGGTTTGGTAGGGTTTGAGAGGGCTAGAGTAGTGGGTTTAGAGATGATAACATCTGCATAGGTTAAAATAAGGTTTATGTAAGGGGGATGTGTGACAAGGTTTGTGGCATCCCTTAGTGGGGCAGCAACATCAAAGGGATGAGAAAGAAGGGTGAGAGACAGCATCAATAAAGAGACAAAGGAGGGGGAAGGGTAGGAGGTGTCTCCTCCATGGGGACCTAGGGAGGAAGATCATGGGAATTCATGGCCGCCACAGTAGTTAGGGTTTTTCTATAGGCTAAGGTTTTTTTCAAAATAAATAAATAACTAATAAAAAAAATCTCTAGTGATGATAAAACTTTATGAATAATAATGTTTTCTTGCTCCAACGAGGAGATTGAATTTTCTCCAATCCTATGTATAACTCAACATTTATTGCTAAAAAAAATTGGGACTAATAATTAAATGCATTAAGATTCATTAGGATCGTCCATTATGTCTACCGTGATTTTCAATAGTAAAGATAGTGAGAAAGGAGAGACCAGTGAACAGACAAAAACCTTGTGTCTGATTTTGTCAATTACCATCATGCATCCTCGGATTTTAACCAATTTCATTGAATTGATAACTTCTGTTCGATTTTTCTTTCATAATGGTAAGATGGATTAAAGTCATATTAATTTACTTAATGGTACAATCTAACAGAAATAATCAACTGAATAAAATTGAAAAGCATACGATATTTAATTGAATATAAAAAAAACTGGCAAAATTAACCAACTATATTTTTTTTAATGAATAATTGATGAAATTACTAATAAAATCGGATTTACAAGTTTTAGTGAAAACCAAATTTAAAAACATACAGTACTTTAGCTCAATTTTTTCCCTTATTTATTTTATTTATTTTGTTTGATGTCTCAAAGTACGCTATTCAAACAAGTTATTTTGTACTTCATCTAGCAACAAGATAAAATTTATAAGTTGATTATAGTGAATAAAATGTCCTGCAATTCATAGATGATTTTGTTACAAGGACTAAAAGTCACCAAATTGGACTACTGACCATATAAAGACGATCATGTTTGTCAAGTTTTACGAAAGTACCCTATAAATCAAAACATGCTTTCGTAATTAGATGTACACCTAATGGTATACTCACATCCTGTAAAACAGGTTTCTTCATATTCAAGTTCCGTCAAAAAAAAAAAAAAAAAAGATTTTATTCTCACTATCAAAATGTTTTCAATTTTTTTTTTTTTTTAACATACGTACATATTTATTTTCCAATAGAACAACCATTTCTCTTCAATACATAGACACAACACAAATGATCAAATGATCAAAGCCACCATAAATGGTAATTATTATACCAATTAGCATAACCTCTCAAAAATTAAAAGAAAAAAACTTCTTACCAAACATAATCTGATCACACCATTAACTTAAGATAGAAGGAAATTAAAACACAAGGAATATCTTGACATTCAAGTAAAGAAATTTTCAGGTTTAGGCATCAGGATTTGCCAAAAAGTAAGCTTCAATAGCCTTGAACAGTCCCTCGGTCTTTTTGCCATCCTTCTTGATTTGATCCTCCTTGATTTCAACACCATCTTTTATATAGTACTTGCTCGTTCTCTTGCAGATGGATCCTCCTTCAGGAGTGGGTACGAACTTGTGCTCAAAAATGACTTTCTCAACTCCGTGAATCCAAACATTTGCTTCAACCAGACTGAAACTGTATGCGAGGTTCTCTTCATCAATTGTTTCAATCTTTTGCTTCACATAGGTGAGTTCTTTCCCTGCAAGAGAAATCTACATGTTATTTTCCTTTTGCAACACATATAGTTAGCGATATACTAAGTTCAATCTTTGGTTACTATTTAGCTAAAAAATTTATCCCAATTAAGTTTCTTGCTTTTCAACGGCAAAGGCAAGACCACCTTTCATTTTCCTAAATACAAAATTATATATATAGTTATTAAGTGCAACAAGTAGCTAAGAGACAATAGAATTAATAACTTGCCTTCAAAAAAAGTAACCTTCCGGATGGTCCCTGGCCCTCCATTTCCTTCAACTATCTCAGAGCTTTTAATAGCTTGCGGTAGAATTTTAGGTATAAGAGTATCGGTTTCAAGGCAATAGGCCTTGAAAAGCTTGGCAGGAGGGACAGCAGCAGCAAACTCATTCTCAAAAGTGATGAGACCCATTGTTACCAAAGATTAATTGAATGATTACAGAAGACTGAAATTAAAGGAGAAGGATTTGTAGATATGAAGGATGGTTTTGGGGTGAAGAAATGTGAGAGTTGGAGCTGGTATTTATAGGATAAGTGTAAAGGTTATCTAGTGTATGAATGTCACATCTGGATCGAAGACTATTAATAAGTCCTTAATTTCCTAGTCTGACTAGGTAATCTTTCTTAATTGCTTTGGTAGAATTATTGTCCAAGTCAAACAAAGCAGCTTCGAAACTAGATATTTATTGAAGAGAATTGCAATGGGTGATGGAACTTGCATATAAAAATAGATATCACATTAATTTAAAAATTATATATTTATATATATCATATTTTTTTCTCATTGCTTTTTAATATGAAATAATTACCATTCATATGTATGTTCAACAATACTGCTATATACTTATATTAGTAATCATAAGAAATAAAATCTTGACTAGATTAAATTTTAAGGTTAATATTCTTACTTTTCTTTGTATAACAAACCAATTTTTTTAATTTATCCAAAAAAAAAAAGTCTTCATTCTTTCTTTATATTTTATTTTAGGCTTATTTCTAATTTATCTTTCTGGTCAAAATTTTTAATCAATTTTTAAAAATTAATTTTCATATTAGTATATATAGAATATTTATATCAAATAATAAAGATAATTTTGTCAAATCATATATTAAGTATAAATCACATGTTCAATTTGATTTAATTTAATCAAAAATTTTAACTAAAAAAAATAAAAACCAATTCAAAATATAAAGACAAATAAAAAAAATTAAAAAAAATTAAAAATTAATCTATTATGTAAAAATAGATCAAGATATTAATCCTTAAATTTGGTCGAAGAATTATATATTAGGACCACAACTGCAACCTGCAGTAAAAGAAATAGACAAAAGCCTAGTGCCTGCTGGGTAATTTCACACCTTTTAGAGTCAGACTCTCAGTACTCCTAAACACTTACATAGAAAATAGGAGGATTGGAAATTTTCATTTTACCCTTTGGAATTTGGATGGTGCCTTTACTTCTCATATTGAGAGTTACTACGGAGGCTGAAACCGATCATTTCTTCATGTTGATTATTGTAACAAAAATCTCTGACTTAGTCAACTCAGGATATATACGCACACACTTGACGTATGCATACGGGTGGAATTGATTCTAGAAGTCAAGTTCTTGCTCAAAATGCATCCAACATCCCCTTCGATGTGACATCATGCTTTTGGTCTCGTTATGATCACCTATACCATATACCATAAGATACAAACAGTAAGTAAAGGTTTAATAAATATAACAATGCATGAGTTTGTTCAAATATGTTTTCATGATGAAAATTTTTTTCTGTATTTAAAACATGTCCTACTAAATGTCTAATTCGGCTCTTTTTTAAAATCTAGACAAAAACATCGTAAACTAGACATGGTTTAGCCAACTCGTCAACCTTAGGTATATACCTAATCATTCATGTAGGTAGCCTCTCTATGAACATGCCGTAAACTAGGCATAGTCTAGCAGAGTACAATCCTAGGTATACATCGGATCATTCACATGGGTGGCCTCTTTATGAACATGCACTTGACGTCTTTGCTTGTTTAAAACATAAGTTCATGAGATCTAATGTCAATGCCATATCATGAGCTCAAGAAGTTCAATGCTAGTTTATCATGAATTCATCCCATAATGCTATGTAAATTTAGGCACCAAGTAATTGTCTATCAATTCGGCAAGAATTTACATAAGCTAAGAAAATTTAGGCACCAAGCACTTAGCCATCAATTAAGAAAGAATTCACACAAATTTAGGCACCAAGCATTTATCCATCAATTCGACAAGAATTCACACAAGCTACGAAAATGTAGACACGAAGCATTTATTTATCAATTCGGCAAGAATTCACCCAAGCTATGAAAATTTAGACATCAAGCATTTATCCATCAATTCGGTAATAAATTCACACAAGCTTGTCAAACAACATGCCTCATCATGCTTATGAAAATTAAAGGCAATTCATTCAAAGTAAAACATCAAGCAATTGTTTATCAATTTGACAAGAATTCACCCAAAGATTAACAATTCAATAGGGATGTTCATAATCCCTCATCAATAGAACTCATACATATTAGGTCTTGTGATGTAGGTGAGAGTTCCTTTTACTTATCCTCACATAAAAACATGAACAAACCTCAAATAAATAATCAATTCATCAAGTGTTTCTATAAACATATTAAGGTTAAACCATCCATGCTCAATCACATGGATTAATTAACACATAAAAACCTAAGACCTTTAAGTCTTGTGGTGTAGTTGAGATTAAATTTACTTGGACAAGCTAGAAATGAAGGAAAACACTTCAAAATCCCTCAAGAACTTCACCTTACCATTGTCCTTCCTCCCTCTTGGCTAGCTCCCTCTCAAGCTCTCTCTTTCTATATGTTTTTCTTTTGTAAGAACAAAATGGCCAAAACCTTAGTCAAAGCAACCTTTCGGCTATTTTTCCAAGTAACTCAAGGTAAAATAAGCCCCCTCCCACTTGTTCAATTAATTCAATCAAGCCTCTTGATTAAGAATGAATCACTCTAGGGTTTTCGGAAGATCACATACAAACAATACACATAATACTAAGGGCAAACAAGGCATAGTATTCAGCAATGAAGTATATAACAAGACAAGAAAATCATCAACGAAAATCATAAGTCACAACTTGGCAATTTTCATTGATGTAAATTGGCATGTCATGACTTAGCTATTTTTGATAATACAAATATAGGCATAGAACATCAAGTAAATAACACACACACACACACACACACACACACACACACACACGTGTGTGTGTGTGTGTGTGTGTGTGTGTGTGTGTGTGTGTGTGTGCACGCATGCCATATTCAAGGGTCTCGAGGTTACATCTTCTCATCCTTAAAAAAATTCCATTCTCAAAATTGACTTACTCAAAC